ATTATATCTTCTTCTTCTCTCTCTCTCTCTCTCTCTCTCTCTCTCTCTCTCGATTTTTTAATGTGGGCTTAATGCAACGTCGATCTATGCGGCGGTGGCGGCGGCGACGACGGTGGTGGCCGGCGGCATCGCATCGCGTGTAAAGACCTTATCTGGAGCACCATCGAAGATTACATCCTCCGCTGTCTTGAACGTAATATAGCCGACGTATAAATAGACGCTCCTCTACGGCGCGTTATCGATCTTTCGCGCAGGCAGTATATTCGACCATCGGAAGTTGACCGACTTGACTATACTATTTGTATCGGGGTTACTGGCCGCAAAGTATATTTCAGATTTAATCTCTCCGCGCGGCCGGGACGATGCGATTTTAACGATTCCGACAAGAGTCTCCGCGTCGGCGAAAGTATCTCTCGGACGGGCGAGCTTACAGGAAAACGGCCGGACGGCGGTCGTGGCGACGATCCGCAAGGGCCTTCGGAAAGGAGGAGGCGTCGGTCCATCCAGCGTGTTTCGCACGGAAGAACAGCTGGGGGACCTTCGACTCCCAACAACGACTGTTATATACGTAATCGATGTCGACAGACTTTCTCTCTCATGGATCCACGAGAGAGGAGAGAAGAGGAGAGGAGAGGAGAGGAGAGAAGAGGAGATGTGACGAGGACGGGCGTGCCTATAACCGATCGTGCTCTTTCCGTTTTCACCGGGTCTCGATGTTGTCGGAGGCAGCAAATATCTATCGCTCCTTTAACATTATTTCCGTTTTCAACATTATATCCGTCCCGAAGCGAGGAATATGATAATTACGTAAAATATAAAAGGGCCATTGTGAGGAAAGCTATATTTTTAGCTCGCCTCTCTCTCCGATAAATTTCCATCGATCGTTTGGGCACATGATCGGGCCTTTCTCGTTGAGATAAAAAATCATATAACTTACGTCGTAACGCCGTATAACGACGTAAGTTATATGATTTTTTTAACTCACACATCGCGAGTTATGCAATATTGTATTTACAACTTTCCACTATGGAAAGGAATAACTATTTTTGAGGAATATCAAGCGGATTCAACTTTAATGTCTTCCGACAATCGTCAACCGAAATTTTCAGCAGAATTTGCATTCGTTTCCGTGCCCGAATAGGGATGCGGGTCTGACTGATCCATGATAAATCTTTAGCAGGCATAGCCTGACTATGGTTTCTGTTTGACCCATTGTTCGTTTTCGCAGAAAAAAGTCGGTCGATGTGAAAAGTATTGAACCGCCTGAAAAGCGGACCTGCCGTTCTTCGTTATGTTTCTCTCTCTTTTATACGATTGTACGCCTAGTCATTTTGCAGACTGAACGTATAGCGCGATGGAGTCGCAAGAATGATTTTTTCGATAATAACTACGATAATAACAACAGTTCGCGATAAGATAAATTGATTCAGATTGGTTTTCCCATCTGTGCGACAGTATGAAAGAGCGCGATAGGATAGGGATACAATAACGAAAGTGAATTAAGAGAAAGAAAGAGACAGGTACATAATACAGTAAATAAAAAATATTTACAGATATAACAGAACGTTTATAAAGAGGATGTCTCTCTCTAGAAAAAAAATTTTCTAGTATTTTCAAGAAATTTTTTTTACTCTTGAAACTCAGAGAGTTTTACTGTAATTGCAGGGAATTCTTTGAAATTTTATTTAAATTTTTTTTATTTAAATCCGTTTTAGAAAACATTTTTGATAATTTTACTTTTAGAATACAAACTTTGGTAAATTGCCGATCATTCCAATTTGTAATCAATACGATATTCACATCCATGTATATTGTGTACATTGACATATAATTTGCGAGTTTTTTATAAAGAATAATCCTTAGAGTGACAAAGCCAAAGCGTTAATATCCAAAATATTATAAGCATATTTTTTCACAATTAAAAAAAAGCACCTAATGAGATACATTTATTTTAAAGAATTGTATTTAGGAATTCTTTAATTTCATCTATAATTGTAAATAAAATTTACTGAAAACTTTATTATATTGTTTCTGGAAAATCTTCTGAAAACAACATATCAGTTTTCATGGAAACCTTAGAAAAACTGGATTTCGAGGAACAGAAAATTACTCTTTGGCTTCGAGGCCAAAGTTTACAAAAGACTCGTACAATATAGCCACGGGGGCTCGACAAAGTTGTATCGTCGTAAGATCGAGAAAAGACGGTGAAGAATTTTCCGTTTGTGGGGGCGCTTCGTCACGTCCGGTGGATGCAGGTAAATCTTGTATCGACGCTCTGAAATATTTCCGTTGTATCACGGCATGCAATTTTAACGGACATCGCGATTTTTGCGTCCTCCCCGGAGCTCAGACTGCGCATTACGAAATGGCAAAATGGAGGGCGGATTTATTATTCAAATCAACATTTTTCTCAACGCCAACGAATCCTGAGTGGCGCAAAAATTCACCGTACGTGGCATCTTATTTTACGTCGGGATGAAACGGCTTGACTAAACTCGCGAGCAGACTTAAGCGTATCCCGCGGAGGACTCTAATAAGTGACAAGTATTGCGTCTGCGGTAAGAAAATGAAATTTTCGCGAATGGACCCGGCACGCGGGGTATATTTAGAAAGGCGTTGCGCTTTATTCGCGCTATCATCGCTTTAACCATACTGTTTGTGTGTGCGTTTTCGCCGTTGTGTAACGGCCTTACCGGCCGCCACCGTTGCGGTCTCTCGGCAGCCATAGGGATATCTCTATCTTCTGCGTGGGCGTCCGTCCGCAAGATTTTGTGGATACCACATTAGATGGCCGATCGATACCGGCACATTGCGCGATAATTCGACGCTGGTATCGTGTGGTCCTCCCGGGGTCGCCTCGGGGAGTAATAACGTTTAGTCACTCGACTCGCGAGAGCATCGCATACCATACAGTTATTATTTATTAATAAATATAATTTCACTTCTCTCGATATTCCGACGATGGAGCGTTATATCAATTTTGGATGATCGCTGATAACGATTTATGTCGAATCAGAAATTAGATTAGAGATTTACGTTCGAAATGCCTCTGTGACCGACATCTCGTCCCCGACGTATCGTTGTCATCGTCGCCGATGCCGACTCAGAGGTTAGCAATGCGGTTC